TTCTCCATGACTCGGCCGAAAGATCAGATCGACAGGAACACCGATCCTCTGGACGGAAGCACAATAAACAGGTACTAGACACTACCCTACTTTATGGTCATTCTACAGCCTCATGGAATATTTCAGAGAATCCTTCAAGGGCGGAACTGGCGAACGTTTCTCCATGACTCGGCCGAAAGATCAGATCGACAGAAACACAGAGCCACTCGATGGAAGCACGGTCAACAGGTCAGTGATGGCTCCATATGAAATTCCCATGCTGCTCGCAACACTGATCTTATAGGGAGTCGTACAAAGGCGGAACTGGCGAACGTTTCTCCATGACTCGGCCGAAAGATCAGATCGACAGAAACACGGAGCCGCCTCCGATGGAGCCGGTCCGTGTTCCTGTCAATCTGATCCTTTGGACGAGCCAGCGTGAATCTTTCACCAGTACCGCCTTTGTACGATTCCCTATACGATCAGAGTTGCGAGCAGCATGGGAATTTCATATGGAGCCATAACTGACCTGTTGACCGTGCTTCCATCGAGCGGCTCCGTGTTTCTGTCGATCTGATCTTTCGGCCGAGTCATGGAGAAACGTTCGCCAGTTCCGCCCTTGAAGGATTCTCTGAAACATTCAATGAGGCTGCTGAATGACCATGAAGTAGGGTAGTGTCTGGTACCTGTTTATTGTGCTTCCGTCCAGAGGATCGGTGTTCCTGTCAATCTGATCCTTTGGACGAGCCAGCGTGAATCTTTCACCAGTACCGCCTTTGTACGATTCCCTATACGATCAGAGTTGCGAGCAGCATGGGAATTTCATATGGAGCCATAACTGACCTGTTGACCGTGCTTCCATCGAGCGGCTCCGTGTTTCTGTCGATCTGATCTTTCGGCCGAGTCATAGAGAAACGTTCGCCAGTTCCGCCCTTGAAGGATTCTCTGAAACATTCGATGAGGCTGCTGAATGACCATGAAGTAGGGTAGTGTCTGGTACCTGTTTATTGTGCTTCGCAGAGATGCAGTTATAACGGAATTCATAAAGAATTGAACCAGGAACCCTCTTAAAACTCCCTCCTATGATCTCCTACCTCTAACTCCTGGAGTCTCACCGTCGTAGCAGTTCTCATCCATTGGAAAATAAAGTTTATTTTTTTAACATTGTTTCCACGTCTCTTCTTTTTTTCAATTAACACGGTTCACTTTGCACCTCTGTTTTTATTTCCAAGCGAATAGCCACATCTAGAAATCGGTGATGTGATCACTTCCGAGTAACTTAATTGTTCGACTGAGTCGATTTTTATTTTTGGAGTGGGATGGAAAATATAATGATCTAAATTGAAATTCGGAGTGCATTTATATTTGAATTCACTGTCATATTTTTCTACCTGGTTAGCCCTTCCATTGTCAGGAGTTGTTCACTAAAATATTTTCGAGTCCCCAACCGAGAGATCAAGTCCGCCCCTTCCCTGTGGACCTGAAAGTGCGCGTAAATTATTAGATTCAGCGTGAAGTAAGCGGAAATAGAGGCGATTCAATATGATCATTGTCAAAATGCAGTTCTTCCCGGCATCTTCCAAGCCCCTAAAGAAATAATAGATCATCAACAGCTGTACTCCGTCCTCTCATGAACCACTACCTCGCAGATGAAAATATTAAGTATTGTTTCGCGGGGATTCCTTCGAATCTTTGTCTGGTTGCTCATCGCTTTCACCATTTCTTTTTCTCCTTTCGTCCATAAGTGCAGCGTCATTCTGACTCATTGAGGCATCATCCCCAGCCAGCCAAGCACCCCGTTTCGTTACTTTGTGAGAGAAATGTTTTCCCAAAGAAATGAAATTACACCTTGCACATAAAGAGAGACGAGTTGCATAACCTTGCCTGCAAGAAATAGCGACCTAGTTCTATCTGCGTAAAAATAGGGTCTGTCCGGGAGGACATATTTTTTACTCCGCTGTACCCGTAGAATCGCAAATAGAAAGAACTCTGCGCGAGCGAGCCTTATCTGGACGAATATTGGAGTGAATTCACAGACAGAAATAAAACCACAAACTTGGAAATGCCTGCTCGAAATGGAATAGGCGAAAAAGCACACGTGTCATTGCATAAAAAGTAGCGTGTGTACGCGGTTTTTTCGGTGTCGTGCGAAAGTGCTGTGTAGCAATGATTCAAAGTTGAATGGCTTTAATATTAAATCCCCCCGCTGCTCGCAACTCTGATCGTATAGGGACTCGTATAAAGGCGGTACTGGCGAACGTTTCTCTATGACTCGGCCGAAAGATCAGATCGACAGAAACACGGAGCCGCTCGATGGAAGCACGGTCAACAGGTCAGTTATGGCTCCATATGAAATTGCCATGCTGCTCGCAACTCTGATCGTATAGGGACTCGTATAAAGGCGGTACTGGCGAACGTTTCTCTATGACTCGGCCGAAAGATCAGATCGACAGAAACACGGAGCCGCTCGATGGAAGCACGGTCAACAGGTCAGTTATGGCTTTATATGAAATTGCCATGCTGCTCGCAACTCTGATCGTATAGGGAATCGTACAAAGGCGGTACTGGTGAAAGATTCACGCTGGCTCGTCCAAAGGATCAGATTGACAGGAACACCGATCCTCTGGACGGAAGCACAATAAACAGGTACCAGACACTACCCACTTCATGGTCATTCAGCAGCCTCATTGAATGTTTCAGAGAATCCTTCAAGGGCGGAACTGGCGAACGTTTCTCCATGACTCGGCCGAAAGATCAGATCGACAGAAACACGGAGCCGCTCGATGGAAGCACGGTCAACAGGTCAGTTATGGCTCCATATGAAATTCCCATGCTGCTCGCAACTCTGATCGTATAGGGAATCGTACAAAGGCGGTACTGGTGAAAGATTCACGCTGGCTCGTCCAAAGGATCAGATTGACAGGAACACCGATCCTCTGGACGGAAGCACAATAAACAGGTACCAGACACTACCCCACTTCATGGTCATTCAGCAGCCTCATTGAATGTTTCAGAGAATCCTTCAAGGGCGGAACTGGCGAACGTTTCTCCTATGACTCGGCCGAAAGATCAGATCGACAGAAACACGGAGCCGCTCGATGGAAGCACGGTCAACAGGTCAGTTATGGCTCCATATGAAATTGCCATGCTGCTCGCAACTCTGATCGTATAGGGACTCGTATAAAGGCGGTACTGGCGAACGTTTCTCTATGACTCGGCCGAAAGATCAGATCGACAGAAACACGGAGCCGCTCGATGGAAGCACGGTCAACAGGTCAGTTATGGCTTTTATATGAAACTTGCCATGCTGCTCGCAACTGACTGAGTCGTAAATTAGGGACTCGTATCAAAGGCGGTACTGGCGAACGTTTCTCTATGACTCGGCCGAAAGATCAGATCGACAGAAACACGGAGCCGCTCGATGGAAGCACGGTCAACAGGTCAGTTATGGCTCCATATGAAATTCCCATGCTGCTCGCAACTCTGATCGTATAGGGAATCGTACAAAGGCGGTACTGGTGAAAGATTCACGCTGGCTCGTCCAAAGGATCAGATTGACAGGAACACCGATCCTCTGGACGGAAGCACAATAAACAGGTACCAGACACTACCCCACTTCATGGTCATTCAGCAGCCTCATTGAATGTTTCAGAGAATCCTTCAAGGGCGGAACTGGCGAACGTTTCTCCATGACTCGGCCGAAAGATCAGATCGACAGAAACACGGAGCCGCTCGATGGAAGCACGGTCAACAGGTCAGTTATGGCTCCATATGAAATTCCCATGCTGCTCGCAAACTCTGATCGTATAGGGAATCGTACAAAGGCGGTACTGGTGAAAGATTCACGCTGGCTCGTCCAAAGGATCAGATTGACAGGAACACCGATCCTCTGGACGGAAGCACAATAAACAGGTACCAGAGACACTACCCCACTTCATGGTCATTCAGCAGCCTCATTGAATGTTTCAGAGAATCCTTCAAGGGCGGAACTGGCGAACGTTTCTCCATGACTCGGCCGAAAGATCAGATCGACAGAAACACGGAGCCGCTCGATGGAAGCACGGTCAACAGGTCAGTTATGGCTCCATATGAAATTGCCATGCTGCTCGCAACTCTGATCGTATAGGGAATCGTACAAAGGCGGTACTGGTGAAAGATTCACGCTGGCTCGTCCAAAGGATCAGATTGACAGGAACACCGATCCTCTGGACGGAAGCACAATAAACAGGTACCAGAGACACTACCCTACTTCATGGTCATTCAGCAGCCTCATTGAATGTTTCAGAGAATCCTTCAAGGGCGGAACTGGCGAACGTTTCTCCATGACTCGGCCGAAAGATCAGATCGACAGAAACACGGAGCCGCTCGATGGAAGCACGGTCAACAGGTCAGTTATGGCTCCATATGAAAATTGCCATGCTGCTCGCAACTCTGATCGTATAGGGACTCGTATAAAGGCGGTACTGGCGAACGTTTCTCTATGACTCGGCCGAAAGATCAGATCGACAGAAACACGGAGCCGCTCGATGGAAGCACGGTCAACAGGTCAGTTATGGCTTTATATGAAATTGCCATGCTGCTCGCAACTCTGATCGTATAGGGACTCGTATAAAGGCGGTACTGGCGAACGTTTCTCTATGACTCGGCCGAAAGATCAGATCGACAGAAACACGGAGCCGCTCGATGGAAGCACGGTCAACAGGTCAGTTATGGCTCCATATGAAATTCCCATGCTGCTCGCAACTCTGATCGTATAGGGAATCGTACAAAGGCGGTACTGGTGAAAGATTCACGCTGGCTCGTCCAAAGGATCAGATTGACAGGAACACCGATCCTCTGGACGGAAGCACAATAAACAGGTACCAGACACTACCCCACTTCATGGTCATTCAGCAGCCTCATTGAATGTTTCAGAGAATCCTTCAAGGGCGGAACTGGCGAACGTTTCTCCATGACTCGGCCGAAAGATCAGATCGACAGAAACACGGAGCCGCTCGATGGAAGCACGGTCAACAGGTCAGTTATGGCTCCATATGAAATTCCCATGCTGCTCGCAACTCTCTGATCGTATAGGGAATCGTACAAAGGCGGTACTGGTGAAAGATTCACGCTGGCTCGTCCAAAGGATCAGATTGACAGGACAGGAACACCGATCCTCTGGACGGA